ATATATATATATATACAGACACACATTATTTCTGCATGATACCTGTTGAACTGCATATTGTTCTGGAATAATATATGGGAACATACTAGTAATTACTTCTAATTTTAAATGATTTGGCAAAACACTTGATGTCAATCAAATCATGACTTTGCAGCGACTGTGTATTTATCACTGTGAATGTTAACGATGTGCATTCTAGCATGTGTTATTCAAGCATTAAATAAAATAAAATAAAATAACACATTAAAAAATGTAATTGTGCTTATGCTCAGTTATCATAGCTTTTAGTGTTTAGACACTGTGTAAAGAGACACTTTGGAAACGGTAAACATTTCCAGTTTTAATGATGGATAGAGGCCTATTCCAAGAACAGTAATATAATAACGTCCATAACAATAATAATAACTCTCTCTCTTGTTTGGTTCCTGGCTCATGTCACACTTAATGGCCATGGAAGACAATAAAGTGCTGTCGTGCACAAAAGTGAGAGTTATTTAATATCAACAGAGTTATCTAATAATGTAGGACGGAACAGAACTCTGTTATGAAGATTAATGGAGTTTCAGAAGTTTTTTTAAGATCACTGTCTATCCAAGATGTACTAAACCAGGGGTTATTAAACTAGGATTAGAGAAAAAACTTTGGAGTAAAAAACAACAACAACAACGGTGTAAATAAACAAATAAACAAACAAATAAATAAGTAAATATTTGATAAAACAAATGAAAAATTTTAAATGATGATAATAAAAAAATCCTATTATAAATTCATATTTTAATGTTATAATAATATTTTAAATTGGTATAGTATATAGTATACCCATTTAAGTTAGTATAATCTGGGTCTTCACACATAAAAAATATACAGCTTAAATTTTAGGATGGGGTCCCTCATGTTTAGGGGATCATATTTAGGGGTCAGTGGATTGTATAACATTGAAAACCCCGGTACTGCTAAATTATGCTGAGGAAACTCTTCTGTGGTTTTGTGGAATGAACACAAACGCATCCATCTAACCTTCACACACACACACACACACACACACACACACACACACACACACTCTCACACACACACACACACACACACACAGATGTGAGTCCAGTTTTCTCTAAATAAGGCAGCTTATCTCTTTTCCTGTCATTTCATGTCGATTCCTCTGAGTATCTCACTCTCTGTGAGTCGTACAGACACAGGCTCAACATTCCTTGCCCTTATATGGTTAAATCCCTGCTGTGGGCGGGCTCTGTTTGGGAGAACGGAGGCCTCTGATTGGCCGAGAGTGAAATGGGAGGGACACATTTCTCAAGCTGATGCTCTGGAGAAACTTTTGTGTCCCGAAAGTGTAGCAGACAGTCTGACTTTCCAGCACAAAGACACAGTCCAGTGGACAGCACAATCCATCAGCTGCAGCAGAGGTGAGTTATGATGTCTCCTTGTGCTCTGGTTTGGTTTTATGTGTCTTATATATATTATATTATAAAGTCTTATAAAGGCTTTCCACAGAAGCTTTGTGTGAATATGGGACACTGAGGAAAGATCTGGATGGAGCTGGTGACGTATGTTGCAGTCACGGAGCTAAAACTGATCCAGGATCATCGCTCATAATGCCGAGAAAAGGATCTGATGGACATGTTCAATGCATTTCAATGCATTTCTGTTATTAGGAGTGTGTCCTCCTGAGGATACATATCATGAAAGAAACTCTTGAGTTGAGTTTGGCCATAATTGCTTCATCTAAGAGCACTTGGCTTTTTTGTGTGCCGTTGAGGTCAAAAGTCAGAGGTGAGACCCGTGACGTAACCACTGGCTGGAGAACACAACCTGAAACAGTAGAAGCAACTCATTAACAGAAATCGAGAGAGCAATTATAGGGATAGAGTGACTTTGTTTTAGATTTGTCATTCAGAGGAGGTGAAACTGTACTGCTGTTAAACATCACTGCCGTTTTAGTGAAGCAAAAAGACTGGATAGTTTGCTACTGTCTCTCTGAAAAGAGTCATTGAGGAACTCTGTGTGTTTGCCAAACCAGTTTCAGAGGCACCAAACTAATGTGGGAGACGTGATAGTGTTTGGTCGTTTATGGATATCCATAAGTGCTAAAGTTAGAGTACATTAGGATGTCCACTTAAAGTTCATTTTCATATTTTAACCACCTTTTTGAAATGTTGGTTTGCGTTATTTAAAAAGGATGGGAGTTTTAGAGAGACTCAAACCAATTAAAACAGCAGAATTCATCAAATCCATAGATAATACTTACTGATGATGTCTGTGCTCCTGTTTTACCGCCATAATGATGTCATTTCCTGTAAACAAGAACAGAAAAACAGGATAGAAAGTGACATTGACGACAAAGAAAAACAAACGTGTATCAACAAATATTTAAACCCAAGTTTAACCCAAATAAATTTCAAGAATATTGTTTTATTTTTAACAAAAAAATTGATCAACAATTAAAATGATATTTAAACGTTTAACCCATTCAAATAAATGTCACAAATATTGTAGTTTCCACCGAAGTTATATATATATATATATATATATTGTTATCCAATATATTATGACGTACATAAATGAGTGCATGGAACTGTTCTGCTGGATGATGAGCGTCTGATGTCCTTCAGGCGGTCGGTCCATCTGTTTCTAAATTCCTATATTTAATCCTGTGGTGGAGCTGGACATTGTGATCTGGTGATGTGCTCAACACACACACACACACAC